ATGAAAAGAGTTTTAGAACAAGGAATTATGAAGAACAATTGTCTTCCATTATTTGTCCCAATGCTAGTTCTTGTTATTACAACCTTCAAAGAGAGGACATGACCACTTCATGGGATAAGAAATTCAGTGGTACAAAGTGTAGAATCCAGCTTAGTGGTCCTGCTTTCTAATGCAACATATGCTACAAAAGGTCTTTCATGGGTACTCCACTAATGCAACATATAATCCTGATGAGATTGTAAAATTTTGAGTCAAGGCTTATTAGAGTAATTAGCATAAGAGGAATCTCAGAGAATATCCAAATTTTACGATAATCATTATTGCTAATTTTCCGTGTTTAGTTACCATAAAATTATGATTTTGTCCAGATGTTTCATTTACATTCATACCAAGATAGCATAGTTTGAGAGGAGCCAGATGTGGAGAGCTTGTGATACTCCTTATTCAACTTCAGTTTAGAGTTCGAAAGGGGGAGAATCTTTGACAGCCTTCAAAAGGGAGCAGCAACAAAAACAATGTCCTTTTCCCACTAAGTGGGGTTGGCTACATGAATCCTTATTCTCCATTGCGTCCTATTGAGTGACATATTTTCATTTAATTCTAATAAGTTAAGGTGACATATTTTCATTTAATTCTAATAATTTAAGGTCACTTTTTATACAATATGTCCAAGTATTTTTAGGTATGCCTTTGTCTTTCTTAACATTCTCAAATCTAAAACATCTACTCTCCTAACTGAATCATCTGATGGTCAACGTCTAATGTGGCCAAACCAACTAAAACGACTCTCTCTAATGTTTTCCGCCACTAGAGCCATACCAACCCTATCACGGATATATTGATTTTGCATTTTGTCTTCGACAAAAAGAGAGCATAAGGCCCGAACCACCTTGTGAAACCCGCCCTTTGATCGAACTCTCAAATTGCTCGTAGGTAAATACCATGTGTTTTTTTTTTCATATTTTTCATATCATATTTGAAAATAAATTAATAGTTTTATTTTTATACCTTTTTTAATATTTCAAGTTGGATTTTCATTATAACAAGAGGGATAGATTTTAGTTGTGTAAATTGTACTTAGAATTTTATTTGTTTATGAAAAAATAATGGAAGATTTACATACATACTACTCAATTCTTATGTAGTTACACATCTAACACCTAAACTCCAATTTCTACATATATGTCGACTAACCTATGTAGAAAATGGTGCATTTCACTTTCTAGAAGTTAAAGCAATTGTATTTTTATATGATATGAAAAAATTTTGGTAAAATAAATGTACCATATAAAGTTTAGGTGTTAGATATAAAATAAAATAAATGTACAATATAAAGTTTAGGTGTTAGGTATAAAACACATAGACACTAAGTAGTATGTATGTAAATGCCCCAAAAAAAATTCAAGTATGAAACACAAAAAAGAAAGATCTAACTTGAGGAATAGAAAAAAATAAAATCTAAATGTAGCACTCTTTATCATATATGAATTTATTATGACAGATGAATTGGAGATATAACTTGAGCAAAGTAATACATTATTGATCCTTCCAATTGCTTAAAAAAATAGTGTTATTAACTATTAAAATGTATCTTCAAGCACGAAAGACGAGTCATTTACTTATAAAAAAAAGTAAAAAATTTCAAACAGAGTCTGCAAATAGAGAACAATGAGAAGATGGTTGATATAATTGAATAAACAAATAGTCAACGTCTTTACATTGGCAAAAGAATATTTTAATCAAGTTATGGATCAAAGAGTATTAACATAACTAAAATAAGAAATTCAATGCATAATTATATATATATAACCCCGAAAAAGAAGTTAAAAGAAAAGACATGTGACAGATGAGAATTAAATAAAAAGGGTGGATAAGAGTATCAAGGAAATAATTACACAATACATTGCTAGGTAGTTTTATCAAGTAAGAATTACTTTGAACGTAGTAAAGTTGAACTTTTTTTATCATATGGTTGAAACAATTGCACAATATAGATGAAGTATTCAAAGGTCATCTTATTATATGTTAAAAATCCTCTACTTGAAAAAGAATTACATCTAACTATGAATAATATGGAATATTACAAAAAATTTTGAAAAAAAAAAAACCACTCTTATGTCTTATAATGGACCATAGTGAATGATATATAATTATCATTTTTTAGTAATTTACATTCAGACACTGTAACCTATAGTTTATAGATACATTAGAATATCAGTGATGCTCTTAGAGCTCCCAGTATTATTGTGGTTGCTATTGTCTTTTTTTTTTTTAAATAGAAATAACTGGAAAAAAAAAAGTGCTTCAAGTGATTCAAATAATCAATCTAATTATATTCTTGCAAGTCCGTAATTTATTTTATACTAATGGAAAAAAGGATACATAAGTATTGACACCATATACAATATATTGTATTGATCTTTTGTTGGAAGAAACTAGAAAGATGAGTAATGTAAAAACTACTTTAAAAAAAAATAGAGTTAACTGGTTACATATATAATGATGAACTAGTTCTTAACATGATGAGGAAACATATTAGTAGTACAGAATTGGTGAGGTCAGAAATCACTCATTTTGCAACTTCAGTTCTCACTTTTGTCAGTATAAATAAGCAAAAAAAAAAAAAAAAAAAAGGCGCATGCTTCTTTCTGAATATTAGAATAAATCTAGACTTAATATTGGTTATGAACAAATGTTAAAGAGATCAATCTTAAGATTAGCTTTTTGAATGACATCTTATAGTTTAAATGTTACAAGCACAACTGTGAAGATATTAACATTAATAGACGATAAGAAAACAACATGTAATGGATTATATTTATGATGCAGTGGACAAAATCACGAATGCAATTAGTGGTGTATTTATAAGAGATGAAAATAAATACAAGCAAATCTTTCATATTATTAATAATAGATGGAGGTGTCAATTTCGACAACCATTACATTAAGCTGAATATTATTTTAATCTAAATTTTTTAATAAAAAATAAGTTATAAGATACAATCAAATGCATAAATGATATAGACGTATATGTAATCATTACCAGGTCAGTAAAAAATTTAAACAAAGCTGTAACAATAGATCAAAAGTTTTTATTTATGATCACGCTAACATTATTTTTGCAACTAAGTACGCCATCCGCAAAAGAGATAAAAAAAATTTAGGTATGATTTATTAAATTTCTACTTTTTTTTCAATCTCAATTAAATCACTTTTATCTAACATGATAATATAATTATAATAGGGAGTGGTGAAAGAAGTTGGATCGACTATCAAAATAAGATGATTGACTTACAGTGCTGCTGAGTTTGATAATTTAGAATTTCTTCAGATAGGTTAATAATTTATAAATTTTAAAACCTAATAAATAATATATATGTTATATGCATTCATTTTATTATCTTTTTACAAAATTCATACAAAAAAGTGAAATTGACTAAACTAAAATCACTTAAACGATTTAATTTTCATCAAGTACAATCAAACTATAAAAACATTTCAATTTTTTGAGAAATTATTGAACCGATCAGCTTGTATTCAATTGTTAAAAGTTGTGAGTGGTTTATTATAGAAATGGAGGATACTTATGAGTAGTAGTTTGGGGGTGAAGATCTTACTTGGAGAGAAATGAAATGAGCTTCATGAGAAGTTGATCGAAGATGAGTTGAGCAAAAGAAGTGATTAATCTACAATGATGACAAATTCAACTCGACATATATCTGCTCCTCTTTATGCTAGAAAGAAATGAAATTTATTCCCAAGAAGATAAAGAATATGATGAGGAAGAAGAAAAAAATTTGAAAATGAAGAAATTATACGAAAGAAATGATGAATACTACTGAATTATTTTAACTTGGTTAAAGAATTGAGACTTAATTAGTTTATGTAAGCTTTTTGCTTATAAGATTATTTTTGTAATTTATAAGTTCTTAAATATTGCAAACTATTAAAAATTATTAGAAATTTTAATTTTCTAAGTTTACCCTCAATGTTTTCCTTCAAGTTAGGTATTTTACCACATTCCTTTATATTTTAAATCATTTTTTATATGTTTTATAATTGTTAATGAATGTACTTATACATTAACTATTTTATAAAACCTAATAGCACTTTGATTAACAAAAAAATCGTTTCACCATGCACTTTGCTCTTTGAAGCAAAAATAAAGTCTTACGCATCGCATTGCGTTTTGAGCTTTGATAACATTGGCCATAAGAGAGATTTGTAAGGTATAAATTCAATATCATATATATAAATCATATTATAAGATAGGTTTAAAACTTCTTGTGTAAGAACTTTAAAATGGGTTAGGTGATTTTTGTATTGATTTAGCGTCCAAACATAAATCAAAGGCCGAGATAAATGCCATGCATCTTATTGTTAGCAATATAAGTTGATGTATATGGAAACTTATCTAGCATACAAGTATAAGACAATCCTGAGTCTTAGCTGAAAAGTTTGAGAGGGAATTGAGAGGGAGAAAAAATGGGAGAGAAGAAGAAATAGATAAAAAGAAATCATGATAAGCTTATTTCCAAGAGTTCAAAGTATCATCTCGATAAACAATTAATCCTTTTTTTAGAAAATTATAAAATGATAGTTTTTAGTGTTTTCTTAATCCATTCTTTGTAACTCTCCTAAAATATTTTTTTGTATTTGTGTTGAGGGACTTGGGTTTTCTCTTTTTCTTTGTTGATTGAAGGTGTAATCTAGTTCTTGGAAAAACTAGTGGGAAGCTTCTATTGTACACCATGATTTTTATTTCTTTGTTAGCAACTAAAATTATTTTTCCTCAGCTAAGTCATAAACTTCCTTAAGCCAAATAGTATAAATTTTATAAATCTATTTTTTTGTGTTTGATATTTTTTGCAATTTCTTTGAAATTGGTTTTACTTTCTCCCGAGTTGACACTTTCCCAAGACAAAATTTGGCAATATATAAGAATTGAGCTTTTACATTAAGATTTCCGAAGGAGTCGACTGTAATGTATTCCAACATAAAATGAAAAAAGGTCTACCATATGACTTTGCTTAGAAATAATATAACAACAACTAACAGCAAAGAAGAAACCAGCAGTAAAGCTACTAGTCTTCAAATTTCATGGTGATAAAGCATTATCCTATAAGAGATAGCAAGTAAAGCCAGAATCAGTCAATCAGCTGAAAGAACAATAAGTTAAACTTTCACTACAAGGAGCAAGAGAGGAACAAACAAACAGATTGCATACTGTTCCAAAATATTCTTCATTTCCAGCTGGAAGGCCAGAAAGCATGGACGCTGTATCCTGTCTTCCAATTATCCAAAGAAATTACTTTTCCGACAGCCCAATACACCACAACCATCGCCACAAACATTATTCCCCGCTGCACCGTCGCACTCTTCAACCGAACCAATCCATGTGTCACGACCGCCAGAACCAAACCAACTAGAGTATAAAAAAATCCCACGATAAATCCCTCCACACCCAACTGCATCCCCGATCCCTGGTAGAAGAACACTGGACGCCCATCCCGATCGGTCAGCATCATAGGCATGCTCCTGATTATATTGTGCATCGAACCTGAAACGCTGAAAAAGTACACGAACACAGCACCAGTCATCCAAACCTTAGAATCATGCAGCAGGGTCTCACCAGCAAGGATCTTTTTGATGATAAAGGGGGTGGCAATAAGAAGGACAAGGAGGAGGACGGCTTGCTGGCGGGGTGAGACGGGCGGCGGATGGAGAATGGGCCCAACAGAGAGCTTGGTCTTGGATTCAACGAATTCTGCCATAGCGTCAGCAAGGCGAGAAAAGGATGAGGTGTCCATGGACTCGGAATCGCTTAGGGATCGGGTAGAGGGGGAGACAAGGAGTATATGGGGTAGCGAATTGACACCAAATTTAGAGAAGGAAGCCTGGGACTCGCCAAATTCAATGTCGCAGAAGAAGAGCTTGGAAGCGGATGGGAGGCCGCTGTGGTGGGCAGCGAATGACTTTGAGACTATGGCGAACTCTGAGCGGAGTTGGGGAAGGTGAAGTTCGGGTTTGGAGCGGAGGGAGGCGGCATCAAAGAATATGAGGAGGTGATATGGACGAGGAATTGAAGCCGAGGTGAGGAAGCGAGAGATCAGGCGCTCATCTAAGCGGATCACGCCGGAAGGCGATTTCGATCGGAGGGATTCCAGTTCGGCCACCAGGTCATCTTCGGCAGAAGTCGAAACGCCGACGGCTACAGAGGCTGAGAAGGAGAGGAGGAGGAGGGTAAGAGATAAAACAGCAGACATGGGCGCCATTTTCCTACCGAGCAAAATTTTTCGACTATGGAGATCGCGACTCTGGCAATTGGAAGACGACTGGGTACGGTGGGCGGCAGTTCAGTCTAGGCTATGGAAATTGGGAGTAGAATACCGGCCGATTTGAACTTCGCGGAGTAGTAGAACACGCAAGAAATTGAAACTGGTTCCGACTTCTCCAGATAAAAAATAGAAGTACCGGCTAGATGTCGAGGGAGGATTGGACAGAATTTAGGGGTGCAAACGTGCCGTCGATTTGTTTATACTAGAAGTACCGGCTAGATGTCGAGGGAGGATTGGACGTGGCTTATGATGCTAATAGTATCACAGAATTTAGGGGTGCAAACCTGCAGTCGACTTGTTTATATTTCGAGCTTAAAAAATATATTCGTGTTCCGCTCGTATGTATAGCAAGCCGAATCAAATAGTTATGAACAAAAAGTCGCATTGACCACTCTAATCATGTAGCCATAAGAAATTAAGGATTGAGGTAAGAATTAAAACATCATTTGAATCTAATTTAGTAATTTTTCTTTTATTTTCTTAATTAATACTTTTAATTGATTATAAATCTTTGTAGTCTTGTAGTCAATTAATTTTTTTAAAAATACTACTCATTAAGCATATATAT